CAGGTGAACGGCGGTGACGATAGGAAGAGTGGGCGGGTGCAAGGCGGAGCTATGGTGGGAATAAGCCAATAGACACTTAGATGAGGTAAAAGGAGGCGGGACTTTTCAGTGGGCGACTGGGGGTTCACTGTTGAAGGAGTACTCACCCTTGGGTACTCCCTAGTCGAAAATAGAAAGCGCGGTTCTGGAGCTGTAGACCGTGCGTTTGTAGAACGCATTTCTCCCGATAAGTCACTTTGCTCAAACTTGTTAGGTGTGTGTGTGTTTTCCCTATCAACCCTAAGATGGCTTTTAAAGAGACAGACCCACAGAGAAAGTGACAGCCCCCCGCAGTGTCTGTGACTCTAGGAACACCCCACGACTCAGAAGCAAGTTCAGCTGAACATTACTGATGTTCAAACAAATGAATATTGTTGTTGCTTAGGTCTTGGAACATCCTTTCCTCTCTCACAAGACGTTATGGTAGGATGGGTGGGAGGAATCAAGCCCGTCAGGCAGGCAGACAGAATTGTGACACAAAATCTGTGTGTACAGAATTGTGTGTACAGAACCTGTGTATACACACACACACTGGCACGGCAGAGGGAAAGTGTGGTGGCTCCCCTGGCTGCTGTCAGTCAATATCTGTCATTTCCCAGCTGTGTGACCTCCCTAAGCGGAGACTTTACTTTATGCACACAATGTGTGCCTTGTTTGTTGAACTAGAAAATAAACCGTTACAAATCATTTAGCAGCTTATACCCATATTGGATCATTATAGTATATGCCTGAAACCGAAATGTGATGCATCGATTATATTTCAATACAAACCAAAGCTGAAAGGCTTTGGCACCCAATAGGCACTCTATTGAAACTGGGGTATCCCAGGTCCCCCACAACTTTCCAAGTTTAGGGTCTTGCCTACAATGCCTTCACATGTCCCTATAGTTCATCTTTTGGGGTTGAAGGATTTCCAGGGAGGCTGACATGAGTGTGGAAAACTGGCCTTTATGGAACCCTGTGAAGGAGCCAGAGCCTTGGAGACTATGGGGATACACCATCAAGAGAAAGAGCTGCTATTTGGTAAAGGCAGACATATGCATGTCAATCATCCTTCCTGGGGACAAGGAGGAAAGGGGTTTGCAACCTAAGTGGTCTGTCACAGGTGTTGCGACAATGTGCTCGTTGAGGGGCAGGAGTTGGTCACAGATAAAGACTGGCCTGGGGTGGGCGGTGGAGGCCAGTGGACTGGGCCACAGCAGCTGTGGGGCTTTAGGCTAACTGCAGGGGTGTTCTTAGTTTTGGCTATGGGGAGGGGGTAAGGGGCCACCCATCACAAAATCATGAGAAGAAAGAGGGGGGTGCACCAAGGCGGACCCATCTCTTCCTGTGTGGCTCAAAGTAGGCGGTCCTCACCCAGAGAGGGGTGCGTCCTGGAGTAGGTGGAAGACTCTAGCTGCAGGCCTGGGGTGGGGGCACGAGCCACACCATGAGCATGACCTGCTTTCCTGGCTCATCAGCTTTTATCTCACAGCAAATAATTAAAACATTGTGTGTGTGCTGAATGCAACATAAATAAATACAAACCCAACATTCACATTCCTTTTTAAAATAAGGCAAGATTAACAAAACTAATTGGGCCTAAACAGTTTCCTCCCTGGTGGTAAAACGGATTAAAGTGCAGCAATGTAAAGCTGGCTGCAGCTGCTTCGACATGAATTCTATCCCTGACCAGGGAGCTGACCCACATGGCGCCGCAGACCTCTGCTGACCCGCCCGCTGCCCCCCTCAGCAGTGGACTTCATCGATCTGCCTGTTCTGCTCCCCGCTCTGTCTCTGGTGAATCCACTCACTGGCCCTGCCCCTGGCCTGTACCCCAGTTCTGTATGCATAAATAAAAAAAATCTTTTAAAAAACTGTCCCCCTAGATCACTGCTTCTAAACCCAGGTTCACATTTGTTCTCACCTAGGGTTATGGCTATTTCAGGGGGAGTGACTGAGAAGCCCCACCCCACTTCTCAGTTTCCCCACTTGTAGACTGATGAGTGGCCAGGAGCTCAATCAGGTTTCACTGGAGCAAGTCAGGTTGACCCCCAGTCTTGGACTTTTCATCTCTACCACTCAGCCCCTCCCAGAGGCCTTCCTAGGAGATCCTTCCTTAGCTTGTCTGAAAGGGACTAGGTAGGTAAGACTCTACTCCAGCCTCTGAGTGCGGGAGCTGAGCCAGCAGAACCGCGGGTCAGGGTTCAGGGCGCAAACCACAGGGACTGGTGGGAAACAGGCCCGGCTTCTCGGCTCTTCTGTATATTCTGGCCATGTTGGGCATTCAAACCTCCTATGGTTTCACGTTTCACTTGTCTCTTCCCCCATTAGCTCCTCCTCCCTGACAGTAAACAGAGGTGCTTGCTGTGAGCTGGGCACTCCCCCAGGAGGGAGGTAGAAGGTAGAGTGGGGTGGGAGAGCAGATCCAGGAGCTCAGTTTGGTTGGAGCAATAAATCCTTTGCCCTGTACCACGTGGCTGTCTGCCCTTCTTCCCTGTCCTCAGAGGTCCGAGCCCTGACCTCTCATGCTGTTCACCAGCGGCCTTTGGACAACGTGGGGCCACACCAACTGCTAACTTGGCCCTGGAATCTCTGCTGCTTCATGGCAGAGAGGAGCCTGAGGGTGATCCCAGGGCCTGGAGGGCAGTCAGGGAAGCTAAGCCCTAGGGCCCCCTAGGATCACCCTGCACAGGTGTGGACTGCAGGTCACCCCGATGCAGACAGTTGATGCTATGCTATACCTGAGCTGATGTCTATGGAATTTATTTGTCAATTCTGATTCGGATTCAGGGTCTCCATGCCAGACTTTACACTCTGGGCCCAACTCAACTCCAATGAAACTGGGAGGCCACTGTCCTCATGGTTCCCCAGGCTCAGTGGGAGAGGAGTCCTCTTGTTACAGGGCAGGATGAGGGGCACCCCAGAAGTCCCAAACCTGCACCCTCTAAGTAGGTTCTGCCAATCACCACATCAAGACAAAATATTCTCTAATGAGTAAGACTTTTAGTGGAAAGGAACTTTAATACAATTAGTGTGCAACAAAGAGAAGGGAAAGAACAGTTTCCAAATCAAGAACCCGAAGTTACCTTGAGGGTAAATGGCCAGCCAAACAGGGTCGGCCCAACGCAGGGCCACTGAAGCCCAAAAGCCTGGCGCAGTGTAAGGCACCTTCTAGTGGGGACCCATAGGAAAGGGGCAGGGGCCCACACTTCTGGGGAAAAAGGAGCAAAATCAGAATCAAAGCTGCCACAGCCACCTCCCCACAGGTCTCTTCACCACATCTGTTTTAACCAGTCCGGAGCCAGGACGCAAGTGCAGCTTTTTCCCGTCTCTGCTCCTCCAGGTCTCCTCCTGGTTCTCCACCCTTCCTAGGGTGAGGAACCTCTCCTTTTCCTAGGGCCACCCAGATACTTTCCCTCCTACACTCCATTGCAAGGCTTCTCAAACTCACCTTCCAGTGCATCCCTCTCTTTACCTTACACTGTAAATCTTACATTCGGCTTGGATGGTGCTTCATGAATGCGTTTCGGCCCATCAGAGCAAAACCGAAGCTGTGTCTTCCCTCTGCTGGGACTTTAGTGCTGTGGTCTCAGATACCCCACGGCACTGGCATTTACTGGCACTTTGCATTTATTATCAGATGTGGTTTGCACACCCATTCTGTGACACTGGTTCCCCGCTTTAGACATGTGAGGCACTAAAGCAAGTTGTCTGAGTTGGCAGCAGGCCTGAGGGTCCCCTCCTTTCTGTGGCCTCCCCTCCTCCCAACTTTAGTCCGTAATAATCCCCTCCGCCCTTCAATGTTAAAACCCACAGTCCACCACAGCACCGCTCAAGTATAGGCCGCGTACTTCCCTAACACTTCCAGGGCACAGGCAGGTGACACTGGCAGGGAGCCACCCGGACCCCAGGCCCAGGCCCGGGAGCAGGGGATGGGCCAGGCCTGAGGCCCAGGACAGCTGGCTTCTCAGGGGTCTGCTTGGTGACCTCGGGCAAGTCCTCCCTCTCTGGACTTCAGTTCTTCCACCGAAACCATGGCTGGGGGACTGGCAGCTGCCAGGCTGTGGCACCTCAGAGCTTTTACTTTCCAGCATGCTACACCCAGGAGAACGCTGCCCTCTCATGAAAATAATACACGTTGCAAATTTCCCTTTTTTTTCTTAAAAGAACACCCTAAGGCTCCCATTTTTGGACATGGCAGCAGTGACCCCTTGTACCCTCACTCATGATCTTTTTCCTGGGATACGCCCCTCAGGGTGAGGAGGCTCTGTGCCCCTGGGACTCAGAAATGGCGGCTGGAGACCCTTTCCCTCAACAAACCTGGAACCTCCATTACCACAGCCCCAGGCCTTTGTCCCTCAAGGATCTATTTTAAGGAAGGCATTTGGTGTTTTGTTTGCGCTGCCCAGGAAGATGGTCTGAGGCTCCAAAAGCTGCCATGGATTGTGGGGCCCTGGAATTGAAGGCTGCTCCGCTCTCTGGGGTCTCTGATGCCAGACCTCTTCAGGGTGGGGTTATTGGGAGAGCACGCTGCTTTCCTGCAGCCCTAGGAAAGTACCCCCAAAGAGGCCTGCAAGTGGGTGGGGCTACAGGTTCAGAATGGGGCAAACTCAGCTAGGAACACTGGTTCCACCAGGAAGTCACTTAATTTTCTTTGGGCCATAGTGTCTTCCTTTCCACCCACCTAGGCAGGCTGTTATTTGAGGCTCAAAGTTGAACAACGCCTGGGACTCCAGAGCTACCTCTAGTGGGAGGAGCCTGGCCGACCCTCTGCCCTGAAAGATTCTTCACCAGTCAGGCTGCTGGGGTTGGGCTGAGTCCAGTTGTGCTTAAAGGAGGGACCAGGGGGCTGTGGCTGGGCCCAGGGCAATGGACACTTTGCTAAGCAAGCGACCACTGTCGGTCTGTTTTCTCATCTTCAGGATGGAAGACTGGGGTCCTAAAAGCTGTGACCAAGGACTGTCTGGACGCCCCCTGTCATCTCTCCTGGGTAAGGGGGTCTCGTTAGGGTGTCGGCAAGGACACCGACACAGCCCCAGGGGAGGCCCCCAGGGTCGTGGGGCATTTCCAACAAAGGGGCTATTACTCCACCCAGGCTGGTCAAAATCAAAGGCCGCTGACCGGGCCCAGCTAGCAGGAGGCCCCGAAACTAGTGTCAATGTGCTCTGCTTGCAGAGCGGGCGCCAGGCCCAGAGCAACAGGGGCCAGGAGGTGCGAGTGGAGTTTGCAGCTAGAACCTGGGTCATCAGCAGGCCTTGGGACTACCCCACAGGTTTCAGAACACACGGTGCCCAGTTTTAGCTTGGATTTGCTCGCTGACATCCTACTTTGGAGAACCAGACCTACCTGATGATCGGGGGAGCCCTAGAACTCTTCATTCCTGCAGATCTACTTCACGATTTAGCTCTAGTGCTGCAGGAGGAGCTCAGAGGGCTGGGGTGGGGGAAGGGTGGTTTGCCTGGGGCGGGGGGAGGGGGTGGTCAGTCACTGACCTCAGGTTTGTGGGGTCTGGGTAATACCTCCTTGTAGGGGGTGGTGACACAGGAGGACCTGGGTGTCCTGTCATTGTCTGTTAGCAGCTGCCCTGGGGGTGTCTGTGGGGAGGAGAGAGCGGGGAGGCCTTGGGGTGAGGCCCCTCAAGGCTCACCAGCCTGTGTGGCCCCAGGACGAACAAGGAGCATCCAGGTGGCAGCCGAGGTCCCACAGGCGTCTCAGCTGGTTTCATTGATGGGAGTCCGTGAGCCCCCCAGCAGTCTCTCACGCTCCTCCTCTTCTGCCGGGGACTGGCTCCTGGACAGGCAGGCCAGCAGCGGGCGGTGCAGCCCATTGTAGAGGGCAGTGCCCATCAGGAGGATAAGGAAGCCGAGGATCTGCAGGGGGTGGAAAACCTCCCAGCGCAGGGCCAGGCTCAGCGCCCAGATGACAACGGTGCGCAGGCTGTCCAGCACCATGCGGGTGGTGGCGCTCAGCTCCTTGGTGACACTGATGCCTGCAAAGTTGAAGAAGGCGATGCTGCTGATGTTGCCCAGCAGGGCCAGGGCGATGAGCGGCTGCCGGCCAATCTGGCAGAAGGCATCCAGCACGTCCTCCAGGGTCCCGCGGGGGTTGCCGCTGAAGGAGCTGGCCGGGATGTAGTACATGGGCACCAACAGCAGGGAGAGGATCACGAAGCCGAAGAGGCCTGCGGGCGTAGAGGACACACATCACCCTCTGCTGGCCCCAGGCCCCAGCACACCGTCAGAAGGCGCCCTCTGCTCTCACGCCAGTCCCTTCCTCCTCCTCAGGGCCTGGCACCTCCTGGCACCTCCCAGGAGATTCCAGTGGCCAGCTGATGGGCTCAAGCTGCCCCTTTGTCACTTGACTCAGGCATTTTCTGACTGGCCCAGGAGTGAGAAAAACACTTTCTAGGGTGACCCGGCCGACGTGGGTGCAGGCGTGGGCTGCCCACGCTTCCACAAGCCCTAGCTCCTGATGCACAGTGCTGAGGATGGTAATCCTGCACTGCTCATTTCAGAGAGCTGCTGGCCACAGCCTGGGTCCGGTCCCCTCAGTGTGGGAGACTCAGCCCTCTGGGTCCTTGGCACTGGTCTGTGATGAGGAGCCAGATCAGCCCGTAGGAAGCCACCCTGCTTCCCTATCTTGCTGGGGGCAAAATGAGGGGAAAGTGCACTGGTGATGTAGTTGACTTCATTGACCTACGATCTGTCACAAGTCTCTCAAGTCACCGTGGACCAGGCACAAGAGCTGTGGTGAGGCCGCGGCCACCTGGGGAGCAGGGCTCAGAGGCCCCCTTCCCTATCCCGAGACATCTGGGTATACGCTTGGTGAGTGAAACACGTGAGCAAGGGCGTCTGAGCCGAAACGCACTCCCAGGGCCTTGCCTGCGGGCCAGTCACTCTGCTGCACGCTCTCCCGGCTGCTGGCTGTGTGCCGGCAGGCATCAGGGTATTTGTCAACACACGTTGAGGGAGGCAGGAACAGGACAGGAGGCTCACCTCTCTCGGGGTCCCCAGCACCTCACCCTGTACTCTCACACTCCAGTGCACATGCCCCAGACCTGCCTCCAGACCTGCCCCCAGCCCGTGCCCAGACACACCCTCAGTGCCAACTGCACGCAGCGGGTGCACGTTGTGCTTATAAACGAACTTCTCCTCTAGCACCATCTGGATGGAGACGATGATCTGGGCCATGATGATCAGCAGGTCCCCTGTGGGAAAGGAGAGCCGTGGTGATGCCAGGCCCGCACTGGAGGTGGGGTGGGGGGTGGCCTGGCACAGGAGCTGGCAGGCCAGTGGCAGAGGGAGACACGCCTATGGGGACATAACCATACACATAGTCCCTGACTTGCAGGACACCAGGGAGTCCACGAGGCCAGGTCAAGGCCGCCTCCATGCCTCATCTGGCCTCAGAGTGGCAGGGCGGGGCAGGCGGGCCGACACCTGTCCTGCGCTGAGGCTCCAGAAGATCCAGAGGTCTGCCTGGGTCAGAGAGCTGCACAAATGGAGAGACAGGGTCTCCCCAATGGAAGACCAGCACGCGTTGCGAGAGACATTTTGGTTTAGTCCTGTCTGAGTGACAGGGTAGTCACTGCACTGGTGTTCAGCCCTCCCTCCGCCCCCCAATTCTAGCAGTGTGTATGTACACACGTGTCCCTCCCTCCTGTAAGCCCCCTTCTCACGCTGCTTGTGGCTCTCAGGTCTTCCCTACATGCTATGCTTCTTCTGGGTACAGGGCCACACCAGCTGGTCCCCCACATGCCCTCTCTATGGCCTGGCATACAGCAGTGCTTGGGAATGTTAGCTGCACTGTGCTGGGCTCCCAGGCTGGGACAGAACGGGACAGGACAGGGCGGTGTGGGCAGCTGGGGGCCCATCCTGGCCGTACCTGTGATCACTTCGCTGAGCTTGTGCTGGTCATCGTGCTTGCTCAGGAGGTCCGCCAGGCCCACGACCACCAGCCCCGCAATGGTGGCGAGGATGCCCAGCCACTGGCTCAGCACCAGCCTCCGCCCCAGGAAGGCCACTGAGAACAAGCCTGTGAATATGATCACTGCTCCCCGAAGCATCTGGAAGCTAGAGGCGCTGGTCATGTTCAGGGCTGGCGGAGGAGAGAGAAGCAGGATGTTAGCTGCTGAGGGCAGAAGCTGTCTGGTCACCAAGGTGACCTCAGGGCTGAAGACTAGTGTTGCATACTGTTAGTGCTCAATGACCTTTGAGTGCGTGAGTGCGTGTGAGAGAGACAGAGAAAGAGACAGTGCCAGATAGTCCATGGGAGGGAGGTGGGATGAGATGGAGACTCGCTTGGGGGGAGGCTGTCTTACGAGTGGCTTCGCTCAGCCCTTCGACCTGGCTTGGTGACTCACCCACATACATGATGCTGGTCCCGGTCATGTCACACAGGGCTGGGGGCAGGAAAAGAAGGGGTTTGAAGGGCTGCTGGAGAGTCATACTGGCATCTGGGTGCCCCGCAGCTCTGCACTGGAGTAGGTAGAAGACAGCCAGGCAGGAGAACTCTCCCAGAAACATGCCCACAGCCTGCAGAGACAGAGCCCGAGTTTAGAGCCAGAGGAGTATCACCTTTAACAGAACACTTTTTTGGACACAATCTGTCTTCAAACAAGAGCTTACGTATAACCCAGCACAACGACAGACAAAAATGGGGACACCGTGAGTACGACAGAGACTGCCTCGAGGTCAACCCCAAGTGCTGACCAAGCTCAGTGGAAACCAGAAGGCTGTGTGGAGTCCACTCTGAAAACCACAGTCAAGTTCAGATGGAGAAACAGGCCTACAGAGGCTTAAGAACTTCTTAAGGTCACTGAGCCAGTTGCTGGTAGCGGTGGGGCTCAAGTTTGAGTCTCCTGTTTCCCAATCCCAATCTAGCAACACAGTGTGTTCTGTTTAGTGACCGTCCCCTCTAGTGGGCTCCCTGTGGACCGTCAGCAGGTTGACGTGGTGAGGGTCAGCCTCATGGCATCCAGGGCTGGCTGCTCACCAGGGCTCATGAGCCTCAGGCAGAGGTCTCCTCCCCTGGCCTCTGCTCTGTGCAGGCGTGGACGGCTGTTCCCTAGGTCACGGGGCAGCTGGCCTGAGGTTTGGGAGTGGGGAGGTGGGGCGGGACTCGGATGGATGGGGCAGGTACCTGGAGGAAAGGGTGCTGGAAGCTGTGCTCTTTGCTCCCTCCACATCCTTGAGCCACCAAGTTGTCCGCCCACCTGCAGCGAGGGAGAGAAGGTCAAATCCTGCAGCGGGTGGGCTCTGTAACCCCGGCCTGGTGCCCAAGGAGAAGCTGGCTTCTCTCATGGTCAAGGGGGGGCCTTGGTTCAAAGGGGTCAGTCTCTACGCAAGTTGTCATCTGAGATTGTGGAGAGAACGTGGGGCTGGGCACTTTAGCTGAAATTTCACGAAGCTTAATTGAATCCTAACATTTCTTCATATTATGAATGTAGCACCGTGGTACCCGTGAACGTGGCACATGGGAAGTCACAGCTATGCTCGTTATTGATCGCACATAGGGTAGGTCACTTACACTCACCCAGAACTACAGTAATGTCCTGTAGTGAGCATACGTGCACACACCCATTACTGTATCACAAGTTTGCTTTCAAAATAACTATTTCAATATAATCGGCTTCATCTATAATCCTCAATATTTTACTTGCACATTTTAAAACGTTACTTTGGGCTTCACACCAGAACATGAAAGGCACAAAACGGTCACGAGCTCCTGGGCCACAAGGGTGCCGGGGACACGACCGCTGACCCTCCCTGGTCCCCCTCCTACAACCTGAGGGTTCCGAGCAGCTTTCTAGTACAACGGTAAACAGGGGTGGGGTGCTCCGCTGCCTGCAGGTGGGATCCAGCCACACCTGGCAGACAGGGTGAGTGACCAGGACCCGCTTCCCACCCACCCATCATCACCCTGAGTGTCTGCCAGCTGCGCCCTGAAGCTTTGGCCCCCGAATTCACTGGGGTTAGTTTCACCTCTGGGTCTAGTCCATCACTTTCCATTTGCAAGTCCTTCAGCACTGGAGACTTCTGCTTTCTGCAGAGCCGCTGGAGCAGGTGGGAGGCGGGAGTTCCGGGAGCTGAGCCAGGGCTCCGGGAGCCACGGGACGCCCTGCCACTCTGCAGGTCAGCCAGGAGCCCAGGGCAGGGGCGGCTGTGGAAGCCACTTCCTCAATCTGGTGGCACCCGAAGCGCACCCAGCACAACCCCGCAGGCTCAGGAAGACCCCAAGAGCCAGAGGTGGCGCCACCTCCTGGAACTGCCTCTGGGCTCCTGTCCATGCAGCTTACAGGCAAGGCGACTCACACTGAGTCACTTTCTCAAGCAATCACTTGAGACACCAGGGAGCAATTTCCCACCTCTCAGCCCCTGCTCCTGGCACCTCCCCACACAAAGGCTGAGCCCTGTCTCCACGGAAGGACTGGGATTCCCAGGCCCCCCAGGCAAACAGGCCCTCAGAGGGAAAGGCTCCAGGAGTCATTTCCACCTGGGTCTCAGGTGCCCCTTGCCGGAGAAGAGGGCCAGCAGCCAGGTGAGGGACACAGGCTGAAGGGCCGGTTTGGAGCCCAGCCCTAACCTGCAGGGCCCTCTGCTCCTGCAAGGGCTGGGCCTGCCGAAACAGGTGGGGCTGGCAGCTTCCCAGCAGGAGAAAGGAAATCTTTTTGTATCAGAGGGCCAGGGGTTGGGTGTCAGCGGGAGCAGCTTCGGGGCTTCAGGCCTGGGAGGAGGGGCGGGAGGGGCAGCAGGCACTTCACCTGGCCCTGGGATGGGCTTCAGCTTGTTGGGCAGGCGCTAAAGGACCCGAGGGAAGACAACAGATGAAAATCCAGCCCCAGTTTACCCAGGATGCCCCACAGTGGGCCTGCACTTGGCGGCCGGCAGGACGCTCCCACCAACCTGTTTTCAGAAACGCACACTCCCTGAGCACGCCCCCTGTGCCAGTCTGGGGCTGTCTTTCAGCCTCAGGTCTGGGATGTCCTTTTACAGATGAGACTTCAAGGTGTGGGGTGGAGAGTCGTGTTCAGACAGTTAACAGGGGTAGTTCTTCGGCCAACCCATCTGCTTGAGTTGACATTCAGAAAAGGCAGCAAAATACACAGAAAGCTGAGACTTTTGAGCCCGACAGGCTGGTAAATGATGGTTTTCTCAGCTATAAAATGGGGGAATTTTGACAACTGATGGGTTGTCAAAGGGGTAAGCCATGTGAGACCCAGCACATGGCTGTTCCCCTTTTCCTTCTACTGAGTAGAACCAGCTCCCATAATGTTGGGTGGGGGCCCCAGGTCTGCTCCAGCCTTGAGGCTTCTGGGAGAGCAGCCATTCTCTGGGACCTTCCCTGCAGACGGAGGCTGAGGTAGCTGGAAGGCCACTCCCGCCTCGTGTAGTTTCATGAGGCACAAAATGCAGAAGCAACTCAGCCGTCTCATGAAGTTCCTTATCTGATAGAGGAGGAAGCCAGGGGCCAGGGCCCTAGGGAGCCTGGGGCCTCCATCTCCATTCGCTGCCACTTCAGCACTGGCTCTGCCCTGGCCTTCTTCCTCTAGATCTTTCCCACCCTGTAGGAAGGTCAGCCCTGCAGATGCTCCCTCTGTTCTGCCTAGATACCGTGTCCTGGGCAAGCCATGGACCGACCCCAGAGCAGGTCTGGCCAGAATGAGGATGCTTCTTTTGGAGTTCCCTGGACCCTGGCAGGCTAGGGTTGAGTCAGTCTGGTGTGGGCCCGGCCAGTCAAATTCAAAGCTCAGCATTTTCAGAAGTGTGAGTGGGCTGGGGGTGGGGGTGCGGGTGCGAGAGACTGAGGAAGTGGCTGCTGTGGCCGCCTCAGATCAATCAGCTGTGTGTCCATTCCCCAAGAATCTCTCCCATTTCCTCTTGTGTCCGCAGCTTGTCAAACTAGTGAGTCAGCTTTATTCTCCAGCAGGGCCGGAGGGCTTTGCCACTCTCTGGGGAGAGAGGGGGGCTCAGCAGGTACCCTGGCTCATTGGCGATGGATGATGAAGAGCCCTCTGATCTCTAAGTATTTCTAGTAGCTCCTACCAGGTGCTGGGGAGGAGGGCAGGGAGGTCACGCCCACTGTGCAGATGAAACTGAGGCTTGGATCCTCTATCCCACAGCTTCTAACCTCACGGTCTACCTATGACACTGTCCTCCCACATTAAGGCTTTCTCCACTTGGCCTGGGATCTCTGTGCAGCAATTATCCCAGGCCAGCGCAGGGAACTTCAGGGTGAGGGCAGTTGCCAAGGCCACAGTTAGGGCTGGCATAGAAAGGACCAGTGAGTGTCCCCCCTAATACAGGTCCAGGCCGCCTGTCATTTCCTGGCAGGGCCTCTGTGCCCAGTGGGCCTGATTATTGGGGTTACATGCAGAACCCCAGCTGGATTCTGGCGAGTGGGCTCTGAAGAACCTGACCTATGGATACGTACTGTGCAGGCGGAAAGCCCCTTCCAGTGCCAGGAGACGCATCAGCATAAGGTTCCTGGGGTGCCAGGAGACGCATCAGCAGAAGGTCCCCGGGGTGCCAGGAGACGCATCAGCAGAAGGTCCCCAGGAGGGGTGGCAGTGCAGACTCAGAAAGAGGCACTTCGGGGCCCTGTGCCAAGACTCAGCCTGACTGGTAGCTCTCCCTCCTATGGTGTGACCTCTGCCCCTACCCCAGCCAGAGCAGGCCCGGCTCCCTGCGGCCCACCCACAGCTGCTGAGTGGGCAGATGGCCTCCTCCGGCACAGGGCTGGCCTGTGGTCCCACTGCAGCGGCACGCGCTCACCCACTTCCTCATCCACTGTCTTCAGTCCTCCCGGGAACGTCTGCTCACTTTACAGCCCAGGAAACGACAAGAGGCTAGCAATACTCTCAGCCTGAACCCAGAGTGGCCTCTAACTCTGGGGGAAAGACAAGCAGGGTGACAGCAGGTCCTGGGCTGGGCCGGAGGGCACTGTGAGGCAAGGACACAGCTTGTCTGGGTCATGTGAGAGGAAATCTCCAAGGAAGGGGACTTTGGGGGCTGCAGCAAGAAAAGAACAGGACTGGATCAAGATCCAGAGACCCAGATTCTACTTGGATATCTATGAGCAGCATCACAAAGTCGTCTCCAGGGACCTCTACTGCAAACAGTGGGGGTCAGGGGGACAGCCCTACCGGTGCCAGCATGATACCCTGATGGGTGAGTAGGGAAGCCCCAGTCTCACCCCACACTGGTGGCCAGAAGCAAGGATTCTCGAGCCAGACCACTCTGACCCAAACAGAAACACTGCCACTGGGAGGTGAGTTGAATTTGGCCAAGCCAAACCATCTTTCCAAAATGGTTTCCTTATCCAGGGACAATGAGTTTCCTACCCCGTAGGGTGATTATGGGAGTTCATTGAGTTTCACAGATGAAAGGAGGCCAGAACAGGGCCTGGCATGTGGCAGCTGTTATCTTGCTGGCATTCACTGTGGTGAAATTCTTGTCTGTCCCATTCTCTTCTGCCAGAAACTGTAGGTCAGCACGACTTCTGATCAATAATTCCCACAGGACACACAGCCGCTACCCTGTGTTCTTTCTCTCTGAGACCACCCTTTTCACAATCTGGCTTCAGAACACAGTTTAGATTCAAACTATGCTCTGTCTTAGGTGGCTCCTGAGAGACCCCTCATCAGGTTAAAAGGCAAGGGACAGTGTCAAAGGCTGGGGCCCCACCTGGGAGCCTCTCTCCTGCTTGCCAGGCAGCCTCCAAGGGCAAAGCCTCCTACCTGACTGGTTTGGAGTTTTTTAAGGAAGGAGCTGACTCAGCAGAGTGTTCCCAGTAGTAAGTGGCAATCTCCACTCGCTTTGGGGATAGCACCTGGCAGACCTAAGTCACTCTGAAGCACCCAACAGGCCTGTCTAGCATGATGGATGGACTTGTTCTCCTGTAATCAGATCCCGAGATGGGTCCCTCAGGTTGAGTCTCTTTGATACCTACAGGCTCAGCAAAAGGAGTGACCTTCAGGAGTCTGCAGAGCCCAAGAGACCATCACAAGACACAGACATGTCTCTGCAAGACATAGCTGGCCAGAGCCCAATTAGAGACAGGCAGGCCCCTCACTGAGCTCCTTTGGGCAGTGGAATGATTGCCAAGTGGGTACACATCTCTCTCCTCCATCTCAGACTCTAAGCAACTTCGTCACATCTGTCTCCTTCCCTGAGTCCAGACAGTGCCTCACACAATGTAGGTACCTCATAGACTAGACCTGGAGCAAAGCCCAAAGGGCGATAGGTGACTGTGCACATCCCCCCTTCTCCCCCTACTGGGCTAAGGACACTAGTTCTCCCAGGCAGAATCCTGGATTGACCACTATCTCCTGATCCCGTGAGTCAGGCCTCGTGGCGTCATTCTGCTCGTGGTCTCTCCCACCTGTCCCTTCCTCCCGCAGCTCACTGCCACCTAATTCCCCTCATCTGCCATTCAGCAGCCTTGGAGTGGTTTTCTCTGCATCAAATTACTTTACACCTTGACCACCAGGCTCACCATATTACTCTTAATCTGTCACTCGCCTGCTTTGATTGATAAAACTCAGTCTGGGCATTTTGTGCTAGTTACAAAGCACTTCGATCTCTCCTTGTTGCTCCCTGCCTTTAACTCCCCTAGACATGCACAAATCTCACGGAAGGCCTTCCATAAGGGATCCAGGGAGTACCCCCCTCTCTGCCACCATTGCCCCTTCATGCTCCCTGGTCACTGGGTCTGCAATGGCCTCTCTGGTAGCTGTGACGCAAGTCTGGGGTCCTGGTCCGCAGCTTCTGGAGAGCTGAGCTTCTGAGGCCAGAGGTGGAAAGGGAGGCAAAAGGGAACCATCCAGCCCTCCCGTTTAAAGATGAGGAAACTGAGGCCCAGGGGCAGAAAGTGACCCGTCAGGATCAAGCATAGCGAATCCAAGCCAGGGCTCAGTTCCTCCAGCCTGGGATGCGGCCTCACTCCGAGTCCCGGGCCTCGCACCACCTAGGGGCTCCAATAATCTCGTGAATTGATCGTTGACACTGGGCAAGCCCGGGAAACCAGGAAAAGAGCGTCAAGAAGGGGTCGGGGGTGGGAAGCAAGTGCGCGGGGGGTGACTTGCGCCCTCGCAGGTGGCAAGAGCGCCCCTTCCTTCCCCGCCCGCCCGGACTCACTTCGCGGAGAGCGTGTTGATGGAGCCGGTGACGAGCATGAGCCCGGCCAGGAACAGCTGGTACTTGGTCCAAGCCATCGCGTCGGATGCGGGGAGCCCGAAAGTACAGGACCCCCGCGACCTCTGGAGCTGGCTCCAGGCGGCAGCTCCCGACCCGGTCACCTGGGGGTCTCGGGCGCGAGCGCTTCCGGGTCGGCTGTCACGTGACCGCCGAGGCCCCGCCCCACGCCTGGGCCCCTCCCTCAGGGCGGGGCGGCTCCACGCTCCTCCCCCTCTGGAGGCCCCGCCCCACGCCTGCTCGCCCCGCCCTCGGAGGCCGCCAGCCCAGTGCAGCAGCTCGCGGATCCGCGGAGCCCATGCTGGCCAGGGCTGTGGCACCCTGGGTGACAGTAGCAGGTTACAAGCCCAGGTCTCCCTAATTGTAAAAGGATTTACTGGGGCGAAGCAATGGTAATGCATCCTGGATGTTTTGTAAACATTTGAGCGTAGTTGGGCTGACAGATCTCAGAGACGAGCCAACGGGCTACCCAGCGGAGAGGTCCAGCTGGAATTTCCTCTCTACGGGTTACCAAGGGAACCCCGGGAGGCTTGAGACGTGCCCCTAAGCAGCCCAGCCGAGATGCTGCTCACATCTTCCAGAAAAGTGGCGTAGGAATCTAGTTCAGCTTCCCAGGAGACCATTTTGTAGCCGAGGAATCTAACTTGAGAGAAGCCTAGTGATTTTCTTTATGACCGTGCTAGTGGGTGGTGGCGCAGGGTGCAAGCTTCGGTTCCCGCCATCATCCGTGCCTTCTGCACCTGGCTGGCCCCACTGCACCTTCGTGGATTTCCGGGATGCTGCTCAGAGGCATCCACGCAGAGACTGTTCCTACATGTGTTTGCAGAGGATTCCTGGCACTTCGGAGCCTGCTCCTGGGTCTCAGGCCCCAGCTGTCCTCATCGCCAGGCCTTTCCTCTTCAGCTCGAGCCCTGCCATAGCCCTGCCATACCACAGCCCTGCCATACCACAGCCGAGTGCACAGCTTCTGGGAACTGCTTCAGACCCAGAGGGCATGTGCCCCCTTACTGCAGGGTAGAGATAGGCCTGCCTCCATCTCCTGCCCTTGAGCTTGAAACTGACCAATGTTCAATCAGAAAACTCTCAGGGGACAGCAGCAGACCCCTTTATTGCAGGAAGACCTGAGAGAAAGGTGCATAAGTGGAATCCTGGGCACAGCGTAGGTCACTGGACAGGCAGGGAACTGGCTTTCTGGAGGGAATTGTGTGTGAGGGCACCGTGTGTGGAGTGTGTGTATGCGTGGAGTGTGTGTGTGGTGTACATGTGTGTATGCGTGGAGTGTGTATGCGCAGTGTGTGTGTGTGTGTGTGGAGTGTCCCATCTTCCCTCACTGGAAACTGCTCACCTCATCGGGAAGGATAGAGACTAGAGACAGAGGTTTCTTCAGTTTCTTTCTTTCTTTCTTTCTTTTTTAAAAGATTTATTTGTATTTATTTATGCATATAAGAACGGGGGTGTAAATCAGAGGTGCAGGGGTGTGAGGGTTCACCAGAGACATATGGGGAGCATAATAGGCAGACCTACTGAAATACACTGCTGGTGAGCAGCGGGTGAGGCAGGAGGGGTCTGCTGGGCCACGTGGGTTAGCGCCCTGGCTGGGGATCCGTCTCATGCTGCAGCGGCTGGTGATAGCTTGATAGTGCTGAGACTTTAATGCCTGCGCCACCAGGGAGGCCCTCTTCAGAGCTTCTTGTCCTCAGTCACTAGTTTCTTGCAATTTAAAAAGAACCCATTTAGTAATCCAAAAACTTTTACTGAGTCACTGGGGCCTGTAGAGAAGGATGAAACCGAGCTCTGTCCCAAGGGCCCAAGCTGCAGCCCACACCAGCTGGCCTTTCCCTCCACCCCCCTACAGGCCACAGTGGCATATTCCTGGGACTCTGTCCACGCCAAGGGCAATGTCCTGAAGTAAACATTAATGACCAGTGCTGTCACCAGCCGGACATGATATCACTAGCAGCACAGTCTTTGTCTCATAGTCACATCATAAAATGAATTTTAATTTATCCCTGCGTCCTGACAATTCATCACACTGCTGTCCCTAGACCCAAGAGACAGGAGGACCTACTATTAAATATACGTGGTACTGTGGGGAAGAATTAGGGTATTAGCCAGAGGCACAGGGGTAAAAGCACTAGCGACAGTGGAGAATAGAAAAGGTTGGTTTATGTATCTATACTGCTAAAAGAAGCAGCGGGACTGGAGAGATCTGCTGCGCAGAGTGAGGTCCCCAGGCACTATTTACACTCCAGCATCCTTGAGTGGTTAGGATGACCAGTCTTGGGCGTGTCCTGACTGATGATCTGAATTAGCATAGTGGACTATCAGCTTGATGTCCAGTTCCCGTGGCAGTCCCATCCATGCCTCCCAAACGTGCTTGCTAGGCTAAGAGTGGGGGCTTAGTTTTTAAATTTACTAGTGATACATGACACATGGGGGCCCATAAGCGCCAGGCCCACTCAGGTACAGTGTCCCAAGACAAGGGGTCCTGCCCAAATTTTCCAGAGAAAGCAGACAGCACTAAGAGAGGTGGAGAGAGTTTGTCACACTGGTAGGTTCAGTAGGATCAGTCTCAAAAGGCTGAATCCCAAATTACAGGAATGGTGAGGTTTTGCTTTGTTTGTTTTAAATACTTATTTATTTATGCATACAGAACTGGGGCACAGGCCAGAGGTGCAGGGGCGGTGAGAGGATTCACCAGAAACAGTGGGGAGCAGAATAGGCCGACTGACAAAGTACACTGCTGAGGGGAGCAGCGGGCGGGTCAGGAGAGGTCTGCTGCGCCATGTGGTCACCTCCGGGGTAGGGATCGAACTCATGCGGAAGCGGCTTTAGCTTCTTAGTGCTGTGCTTTAACCCGCGCACCACTAAGAGGGCCCAGAGTGGTGAGGTTTTATATAGTTTGTATGAGGAGACTTGTCCTCTCAGCCATCACGGCATAAGCATCTTTTACTTTCGGGAAGGGGGTCAAGGTAGCCAGAGGAACTACTGTGGGCCAGCAGCACACTGCGAACAGCGGAATCCAAGTAGCAGGCCTGGGAAAGTAGCTGAACCTAAGCAGACCTGGGAAACGTCCTGCTTCAGAAGGAGTCTGGGGTTTTACCAGGTGAGGGGCTAACTAGCAGGGGGTCGCCCTGCCACCCGAGAGCTTGTGTAAGGGGCAGGGGCAGCTGGGAAAGGATGACTGTCCGAGCACCAGCAGAGCTACTCAGATCAGGTGCCCACCTGTGTCCACCTGTACTGGGAACTTGACCTCTGTGACCTCAGTTCTCACAGCAGTCCTGTGAAGCTGGAATTTAGGGGAGATTTGAGATTAGGATAAATGCATGATCCAGTTTTCTGGTCTTTTCTCCCCAAATCAGGGACATGTGGAACAAATTTGCATGCTACCTTCAAAGAGCCTTTAATTTCCGGAGTCAGATAAAATGCATCAATGCAAACCCCTGCATTTGTATTCAAAGCTGGCTGCTAGTCTGTGGCTTGTCTGAAAGACTGAACATTTTCCCAATCAATTTAATCACAGTCTGGATTAGGAGAATTGCTTTACCCTGGGAAGGACAGAGATTCTTGGACAGACAGTCCAGGTCAAACCTGTTTTGTTTTAACAAGTTTTTGCTGACTGCCCTTGGGTCTTTCCCTTCCTGTTAACCTATTTCCCTGTTCCCTGGCTTGAATGCAACCTCTGGATGGGTAGGTGACCAAGTTTAGTCAAGCTTCTGAACACTCTGTGTATTTCTTTATTGAGATGTGATTTATAAGAAATTTGGCCATTCAGACCACCAACTATCTGTAAGAAATACATATGCACTCACAGCCAGTGGGAATGAGAGTAATAAAAAGGCATCTTTTGTTATCTTTAGTGAGCTGACTTTGGGAAACATTTAGGGATCTGGGCTGGTTGCCTGGAGGGTCAACCAAGTATTTAAAAGATTGGAACCTCCAGTCCCACTCCCAGACCCCTGGAAGAGGTGAGGTGCTGGAGATTGGATCACTGCCAATGGCAGTGATTTAATGCATCGTGTCTGCATAGTAAAACCTGCATAAAAACCAAAAAGATGGGGCTTGGCTTGCCTCCAAGTTGGGATGCCACAGTGGGTCCTCGTCCACTACGCTGGGCCCCCATGAGGATAGTGTCCTTTGGCCCCCATGAGGGAGTGTCCTCTCCCTGTGTGTCTCTTCATTTGGCTGCTGTTTATATCCTTTAGTGCCCTTTGAGGCATATCCGCTGTGTCAGTGATCTAGTGACTACTGGTTTGCCGAGTTTTGTGGATCCTTCCAGCAAATTAGTTGGCTTGTGGGGGAGGAGTGGAGGGTGGTGTCGAGCCACAGAAGGAATCATACTGTGCCTCTCTGCGTTTTTCTTTTAAAGAAGCATCACACAGATAAGCAAGACAGCCCAAAATAAGCTCTAATAATAAATAACACATGCCGCCTGTAGCCACGGGAGACCCAGCACAACTGGGTAACTCGCCATCTTAAATGGGTGAGGACAGATGAGGTGGGGGAGGAGAGAAGGTGGGGGAGGAAGGGAGGCCCCCTCCACCCCATCTTTGGACCTCCTCTCTGAAATAAAACTTTCTGCCAAAAGACATTTTGAGGCGGCAGACCTGTGCCCCACGGTAGTGCTGGGAGACAAGGCCTTACCTGTGGCATCTGCTGCTGTCTCTGGGTGGACAGTGTTAGAACTGAGTTGAAGTTTTGAACACCCAGAAATGCGTTTCTATGTGGGGAAGCCGCTCTGCCCACTCACCTTGGAAGTGGGTTGAGGATCCCTAATCACTTACATGACCCAGGTGCTTGGCAAGCACCCTGCTCAGTCAATTTCACAAGACCCCAACCCCCACCTCCAGAGCTGAGGGGTTCCTTAGCCATTAGTACCCCCCCAAACCCTGCAACCCCCAGACCTGATTCCCCTGGCCTGTTTTCAAGAATCTTATCAGTGTTACCCAAAAGAGTGGGTCCTTTGCCCTCTAGGGTAAGGACTCGCTGGAGAGCACCAGGTGTAGCTGAATGAGATGGGGCCTCGTTAGAGAAAGGACAATCTAGCCTGGCTCTTCAGAGGGACTGGGCACAGATGTTGGAAGGGTAAATCTACCACCAGGAGGGCGAGG